AATTTATTATTCATTTTTCATGAAATGATCTGTTAATTGCTTTTACTTACTGATGTATTTCTGGGCTTCAAAATTGGGCTCAAAGAATCATACAGTTAAAAGAGTCTTTATAATTTAGCACCACAGAAAGCCATGGTAGATACAACCCAGATGTTTTTTGCTTACGTCACAAATGTTATTTTCAGACAATAAAGAAGGCATCCAATTAGTAACCATTTTAGGTTGTTGCTTTCCTTTTTAGCAAATAGTTAAATTCCATCAACAAATAGGTCAAACTGGGACACAGCTGATGAGAAGGAAGATTTGAGTCTCACTTCTAGCAGAACTGGAGGAGAATGCTAGATCATTATGCCCACCTATATTTCCCTTGGTGTCACAACTGAATTTTTCCTTTGTTTGCATGGTAACCTTGATCTGTTTTCAAAAAAGTGAAGGTGGCTTGTGCTAGAAACTAGTGATTCATTTTATGAAGAATGTCCAAAGATTTGATGTGCCTTAGGTGACTTATAGGAATTGGGTATCTCAAAAAGCAATCCAGTTTATGAGCATCTTTTCACAATGGAATATTTCATCTGAATATGTTGTAACACTGAATATGACTCTGAAATGTGAATTGGATTTTATGGTCTCTCTGACCATCCTTTCTTGTAAAACTGTGAACAGAGCTTCTCTCTCTCTCTTTTAATGCTGTAAAAATATGGATAATTAAGCTAGAAAATATTCCAATACAATCAAACAATATTTTAACTAATGAAATTTGTGTTGTGAAAAACTGTGAAATGACAAAAATTCTTTAATTTCACAACATATAGGCAGATTTAACCCTAGTTTCAATTGGGAAAAATCTGACAATCCTAGACCAGGCCAAATCCAAAAATGCCAGGGAATTTCTAGAAGCTCTGACAAATCAGCCATCAATTGACACATAGACATTAACAACATCTATAGATTATGAAAAAGAGACAATCAACCAGCCCAAAATAGAAGAAGACTCCAGCACTCAGATCAGCAGAGATGAACTCCAAGGTCACTTTCAGATCAACAATCAAGTAAGCAATATCCCAATCAAGAAACTGCCAGAGAGCCATTAGTAAACAGCCCAACCAAAGAATCCCTAAGACCGCCCCCACCCACACAGACAGGCAAGACACCAGAATATAAACCAACAGCAAACAGCACTCCTTACTAGCACTGATGATGTTACTGTCATGTGTCTGATTAACGAAACACTTAAAAGGACTTTCAGGCATATTTTTCCTAAAAGCATTTATTAAGGTTACAGAGATGTCAGTACAGCATGGTGGAAATGCTTAGGTCTGGCTTCTCTTCCGTTACGCATATACATTCCAAGCATTTCCCACTCCCTTATTGTAGGGTCATGGTTCACATCTTCCAATCAACTTGGAAGATGTGATTTACTTCCGGTTTCTTTTACCCGGGCTATCCTTATGCTCCTCCCTCTTTCCCAGTTGCTGGTTTAACTATATAAATACCAGACAGTTCTGCATATTGTCAAAGCAAGAATATACAGTATTTGCAGCGTTGACAGTTACCTAGTTAGGGTAATGAAACATCTGCAAGAAAACAAGCTCAGAGAGCACCCAGGACCTCTCAATATTTTAACTTTAATACAAAAGCTGCTCCTGAGTGCATTTGAATTTATTGCTTATTATTGTTTGGAGTCCAGCTATTATAAAAATCCAGATCCAAGTTTTGGATTTGCTACAAGAAATTCTTGCAAAAACAAATAATATTATCCACACACCCCACTGTCACTGTGAGTTGACAGTGTTTCTTACCTTTGTCATATATTTCCTTCAGAACTCCTCTCTTGATAAGTTCCTCTCTGCTTTGCCTCATTGATATTTTTCTTTCGAGTGCTAACGAAAAGAAAAAAAAATACAAGTTGAAATAGTGAACTCATAAAATACGATATGAGGAAACTGTAAAAAAACTGTTTTCATCCCTTGAAATACTTTTATAATCCTGAAGAGTTGAATAAACCCAAATCATTGAAATCTTTTTTTCATCTTCTATTTTTGCCAATATTTAATTTTCAACTTTACTAAAAGGTATCTGCCCTCATTGTCTTTCTATTTATTGATTTTACATCTGACTTTAATGTTAAGATTTCTGACTGGCGTGGTGATGAGCTGAATTTATGAACATCCAAGGAGATTATCTGATCTTTTGATTGCTTGATCAGTAAGCAGAAAACTTCTTTTGTTTTCCTTCGTCTAAACTGCACTTTTTAGTGTCTTTCATTAGATTAATTATGGGTTTGAAATCAGGAAGACAGAGAAAATAGGAATCACTTCCTCCTCTTCAGAGGGGCAGCAGCTTCTTCAGATTGTTGAAGAACAATTGAAAGATTGAGCTGCTGATGAATTTATTCCTGAACACAGAGAGAAAGCCTATAACTTTAAAAGCTTCTCTCATGGTTTATGGTCTTCTAAAACAACTGTTTTTACATATTCATATGCTGGGAATTAAAGCTTTTTGGTGCTAGAACAAATACTTGAGATGCTTCCAGTCAAAAAATATTGGAGCTGAATATTTTAGTAATTGATTTAATTGAGACAAAAATTGCTCAGCTTAGTGAGGAGAAAGATCAGGTAAATTATTAGGTTCTCAAATGAAACTGCAGTAAGAATAACAAAGCAATATTATTTTGACTGTCGAGAATAGACAAACAATTCAGCACAAATAATGATTCTATTTTAATAAACCAATTACTCATAAATCATTTCTAATGTTTAATGTTTAAATTTCCAATACTGAATCCAAAGGAAATCATTAAGAATTTTTTTTAAAATAATAATAATAATAATATGGTTCTTTTGAAGATAAATAGGAAGCTGCTTATGTCTATCTATTCAGGAAATAATAGGTTTTTGGTTTTTTTTATTAATTAGATTAAAATGTGGTATTTTAATCTTTGACCAGCATTTTTTTCATAATGCCTTGATTTCTCTTCCAATCATTACTTCACCCCTTGATTAACTCATATAGTGAACCTGACCTTGGAATTTCTGCTCTGTTTTAATAAGGGTACTCTAGGAATAAAATTTCAGCTGGAGTTATTATATGCTGATGATATTTTATGTATTATTGATCATTATGAATATTTTATACCAAAATGTATAAATATTGTGTAATAGTTTTATAACACCTATTAGGTGTCATTCTTCCCAAGTAGACCAGAAGGGGAAAATGAGCAGATGAACTAATACTATTTTATTGTAAAACTACATTAACAGAATCTTGCAAGTCTGAAAGTACAAATCTTTCACGGTCTCCTTTACAGCCTGAAAAGCTAGGAAGGGTTCCTTCTCGGCCTTTCTCTGCCTATTACGCAGCTTGTGGGCTAGGCCTTCGCTTATTTGACATTCCACAGGAAGCATTTCTTCAAGGCCTTGTTCACATACCATTACCCCAGGTTATTCAATTCAATATAGAATGTCTAAAATATGCTCTATGAGCTCTGGATAGCCAGAGGAGTTATGGTGAACCTTTGAAGGAAAAACTCTGCAAAAGTGGAATCGATGACTGTGGCAAACGGCAAGGAACCGATGAGCAGATTGGTTCCATGGAACCTCTCAGGATAAAGAGAGGATGGAAAAAAACCCCACATGTGTTCTGGACCCACAGGACAGTGGCTTTCTGCCGATTTGAGTACCAGGAAATGACATGATTAGTCATCTTGCTTGCAACCATAGTGGAGACTTTGAAAGCACACTAAGTTTCCAAACCTCACTTTCTAATTAACTCAGTTGCTAATTAACTATTTCCGAGATATTAAAGACCTTTGGAATGACAACTTTGAAAATGCTGGATGTGTCTGCCTTTAATCCTGAATGAAAGAACATTTTAATTGTAAATTAAATGAATTTAATTTTAATTGTAAATTAAATAAATTTAAAGAATCTGAAATAAATAGCAATCATGCAAAAAGCACTATAGACACAATTAGATAGTTATATTATCTAGTTCTAACCCCTCTGACATCATGGCAGGGACTTGGTTTCTTTTTCATTACGGCAATAATTCTACTGTGTTTCTAGCGTTAAAAGTAACAAGGTATATTTGAAAAGTCTTGGACAGAAATCAAAGGTTGATCATTATTCAACCATGATTTGAAACTTCCATGTAAATAGACGAATTAATAATAGATGAGGCACTTACATATATGATGTGGTATTGTCCTGTTTGGCTTGCAAATCCATATATTTGTTAATATTGTTTGGGGAACTTTAATATGGTTTGAAAATGGGAATGTGATTTTAAATGATATATTTAAACATGGGATTTATCATTATATGGATATATGGATATATCAGGCAGGAGCAGGAACAAAAGTGATATTTTTTTTAACGGTGAAAAAGAGAACCTATGCCAGGGGTCTTCAAACTTGGCCCTTTTATGACTTGTGGACACTGGCTGAGGAATTCTGGGAGTTCAAGTCCACAAGTCATAAAAGGGCCAGGTTTGAAGACCCCTGACCTATGCAGACTTGCAGAAGTGACCTGGGAAATCTCACAGCAGCTTTGCTAAGCTTTGCAGAGGTAGATGGGGAGAAGCTTTGCTCCTATCAATATGCTTTGTGAGCACTTTTCAAATGCTTTCCTGGCCTTACTAGAAGTTCCTTTCTTGAGGGAACTGAATTTTAAAAGAGAATTTTTCAAATAGCCACCTTTGTAATTTTGTAGTTACATTTGTATAATTTCTATTTCATAGGAAAAAGTCTATACAATAACTGTCAATTTTCCCTCAGACATTAAATGTCAAATAAGGTCATAGTTTAGTTGTTATTGTAGTATATACCTACTGGTGCCAGTTCACATCAAAAGGTTTTTTAAAAAATAAATATTTGTGACCTTTCAGGAAATTTGCAAATCTCTTTATTGCAAGAGATAATTACACACGCTGTTCAAAGAGTTTCTTAAGATGTCAGGCCTGCTGAATCTATCACTGAAGTATTGAGTCCCACTGAGAAACAGGTGCACAGTTTCTGTGATTCTGTCAGGCATCAATAGCTATTTTGATTTCTCGTTCTTTCGTCAAGAAAACCAGCATTATCTAAATTGAATGTGGAATAGTTGTTGCTATCCTGCCTGTAAGTTATATTGTGCCAGGAATAACTCCTGTTAGCTCTCTTAAAGTCTTTTACAATGTTATTGTCTCATTGTCTTCCCCAAAGTCTAATCAATCCAACCACTTATTTCATTTCCCTGATCATTTCTTAAAACTTCATATCAACACACCTCTCCAGCCTCCATCTGATTCTGCTAATCTTCATATGATCTTCCTTATATAGTATATAGTATACTATATAGTCAGTGCCAGTTGGCAATTTTATCAATGTATCTTTGCATTTAAATATAAGCCTTTGATTGATGTGTGTTTGATTATTTTCCCCCTACACAGTACCATTCATTTTTTTATGTTATGATGTTATGTTATGTTTTAATAACTATAGTCATTGAATATATAGGAACCCACAGATTAATGTAGTTCTCAAAGAAAAATGAGATAAATGCATTTTTTTTGCTGCAAGGTTCAGGAAAATGGTTAGATCTCTGAGTTCAATGAAACCCAAGGAAATGCAAATCAATAACATCTGAACGATGCTAGAAGCCTTAGCTAACAGAGGGAGCTGCACTGAGAAAATTCAAATCAGGTACATACAGATCTTTCATACATTGAAAATCTGTTTAAGAAAAAGGTATTTTTTTTAAAAAGAGAATGCTTTAGATTGGATAGAAATTCCAGAACGAATTATGCATAGGCAAACTAAAAGAGATATTAAATCATATTATTTCCCAATAAAAGAAAAGATATTTATCCATAAGACACAAAAGAAAGACATTTTAACAAAATCTAGCCAGCCTTAAAGGTCAACCAAAATAAAGGAGAGTAGTAGGCCATCCGTACTGCAAGTGCTTTTTCCTTTTGTTTAATGTCTTTGTGAGAAACCACAAACATATCTCTGAGCTCTCCCTCAATTTGTAGCAGTGCCATCATCACAGGAAGCCAGATGGATGACATTTTCTACCAAGGGCTGGAGATTACCATCTCTATTTCAGCCACCGGAACTATGCTTTTGTGGTTGGAAGGAGACATGATAACAGATTTGGAATTGTAGCTGAAAATGACAATGTATCTCTAGTTTTCCTTTCTCTGCCCTTAACACCTAATTGTAGGAACATGTAACACAATTTTCCACAGGAAGTCAAGGGATTTTTCATTTCCACCTTCTTCTTCTTAGCTTGTAAAGAGGGACACAAGATGTGGCAACATCACAAACATTTTTTCCAAATGAGGTGTAAGATAAAGAAGTAAAAAATATTAATACTAGGTTTTGTCGTGGAATGTAATAAGAAGGTGGATTCCCAGGAGGGAGGGGGTACATTCCAGAGGAGTAAGAGGCAACTCATCCATGAACTTATGTGTGGGAGAAAAAGATGAAGACAGCTCCTGCCTAATACATTGCTGAAGCAGATAGTAGAGAGCTCAGTTTGGGAAGATTTTGTCTATAGGTGTGAAACAATAAGTATGGAAGAATCAACACATATCATTCTTGGTTTTGGGCCTGACAGATTCTGTGATGAGAAAGCTATGCAATTGTTTGGATAGTCCTGCCTTATGCTGACCTCCATCTAGCATAAAATAATGCTGCACTGATCAATTTCATAAACGGTTTCATTGTAGTTAACTTATTTTTGTCAATCAAGATTTCTGGTGAGGTATAGAGACCTGATGATGTCCTTGAAAAATGGGGATGACATTACTGCTATAGCTATGTGCAGGGGCTGGGCCAGCAAAATCTCTCTGGAAAGAGAGATCTTGCGATTGCCCACTTATTTGGGTCAACT